CGGAGTTACCGGAGCCCAAATCTCCGGCAAGAAAACTTTAAGAAAAGGCACTGTTGTTATCACCGGCGCGTCTTCAGGCTTGGGACTCGCCACTGCCAAAGCTCTGGCGGAGACCGGGAAATGGCACGTGATCATGGCGTGCAGGGATTTCTTGAAAGCAGAGAGGGCAGCGAAGTCTGTGGGCATGGTGAAGGACAGTTTCAGCATAATGCATTTGGATCTCGCCTCCCTTGATAGTGTCCGGCAATTCGTGGACAACTTCCGGCGGTCCGGCCGGCCTCTTGATGTTGTGGTGTGTAATGCGGCTGTTTACTTGCCGACGGCCAAAGAACCGACCTATACGGCAGAAGGGTTTGAGCTGAGTGTGGGGACGAACCATCTGGGACACTTTCTGCTCTCAAGATTGCTCTTTGATCACTTGAAACAGTCTGATTACCCTTCCAAGAGGCTCATCATTGTCGGTTCCATCACAGGTAAATACTCCATAGTTCTTATCCTCATGATTTGGCCTAGCTACTTTTGGACTTTATCATCATTTATTTAAGCTCCAAATAAGTCATTATTCATGCTTGGTAACTAGAATAAAAGAATTTATATACAGACCTCCTATTTGAAAGTTCACTCATTGTTTCTACTTAGCCACTTAGGAACCTAATTGTTAAACAAAAAATGCACATTTTATTTTCCATCTGAAATCAATGTAAACAATGCCTTATCATGTTAAGTTTCAACTGTTAGATCCTAGAAACATACTTTTGAGCTCTTAGCTACTCCTTATCTTGCATCTTTTAGCTAGGAGTAGTAAATACGCATGCCAAACAGACCCTAAGTATGTTATCAGATTTACAGTCTACTTTTAGGGAGATTTGGTGTTTGCACTTTATATTTACTAAAATATTTGAGACTTTGTACTCATGTTTTTTAATCCTATATACATCTCAAGTCATCTAGGTTAAAGGGATGCAAGCTCACATAGGTAAAGGCCTATTTCCCGTAGTTATTTTGATATCGCCTATATTTCCCGTTGATAAAAGACAAGCAAAAACATCAGATGTAAATAAGTATGAGCATAAATATATCCAAACTTTCTGCTATGGTCTTGTTTGGTTCGGGAGTTTCAGACTGGGAGCGAAGGAAAAGACAGAAATAGTGGTATTGTTTTTCAAGCTTTTCCCACATATTGCTGATTGGCTGATTGCCTTTGGAAATAAAATTAAGATTGAAAAGAATAAACTATATAAAAATACATGATCTAACTAATTATTTAACAGTCCGCCAAACCCATTTCTAGTTAATGAATTTTGCTCATTCAATTAGAAAGTGTTACTTAGGGGGTGTTTGGAACTGATTCTGCTTCTGCTTCTTTTTTAAACAGAAGCAGAATCAGAATCAATTTTCAGAAGCCGGTCTTTACCAACTTCTCAAAAAACTGATTCTAGGAGCAGATTTAGCACCCGAATCAGTTCTGCACTTTCACCCAAACACTCCTGATTCTGTTTCTGCTCCTTGAAGGAGTAGAAGCAGTTTTAAGAATCAGATCCAAACACCCGTTAAACACGATGCTTTTACACCACCTTCACATGCCTTGTGTGAACAGCAGAAGTTTTTGTGTGTTAGAATGATAGATCTTACTCCATATATGCCATATGTTAACTCTGGAATTGATTGGTCTGTGATCAGGGAATACTAACACACTGGCTGGAAACGTACCTCCTAAGGCAAACCTGGGGGACCTAAGGGGTCTAGCCGGAGGACTGAACGGACTAAACAGCTCGGCGATGATTGACGGGGGAGAATTTGACGGCGCGAAAGCATACAAGGACAGCAAGGTATGCAACATGCTGACGATGCAAGAGTTCCACCGGCGCTACCACGAAGACACCGGAATCACATTCGCCTCCCTCTACCCTGGCTGCATCGCCACCACCGGACTGTTCAGGGAACATATCCCGTTGTTCAGGGTGCTTTTCCCGCCCTTCCAGAAGTACATCACCAAGGGATATGTGTCCGAGGAGGAGGCCGGGAAGAGACTGGCTCAAGTGGTCAGCGATCCCAGCTTGACCAAGTCGGGCGTGTATTGGAGCTGGAACAAGGACTCGGCTTCTTTTGAGAACCAGCTGTCTCCAGAAGCCAGTGATGTTGAAAAGGCCCGCAAACTGTGGGAACTCAGCGAGAAACTCGTTGGCTTAGCTTGAACGCCTCCCTCCCCTCCTTTGCCCTGCCTCGGCTCATTCCCCCATTCCTCTAGTTGTGAGTTCCAAACTGGCAAAACCCAAAAAAAAGTTTAGTCATTCTCTTTTGGAATCCAAAAAAAATCAATAAATGCACTCATGCATCTTTCTTTCCCTGTGTTTTTAATCAGCTGGTCTGACTTTACTAGCAACAACCCTAAAACAGGCTGTATTACTAAAACATGAGATATGGTACATGCAGGATTTGATTTCATTATTACGCAATGATGTTTAATGGAATATATATTCATGGTCCGGTCCAATTGATCCCATTTTAGGCTTTGGTCTTTAAAGACCGGTCGACCCAGGTCTAGATTCTGAGAAGTTTGAACCCAATGTTAGGTCTAAGTTGGGGTGCAAATGAGCCGAGTCGAGCCCGAATCTATGTAAGCTCGAGCTTGAGCTCGAAATATATTGTATTGGCTCGAGCTCGGCTCGAACGAGCTTAAAGATCAGGGTTCGAGCTCGACAACATTTACTCAAAAGTTTGGATGGCTCGATTCAACTCGACTGGCTTGATAACTTTGATTCATCAACTCAAAAGTCACAAGTCCGATCAGCTCGAAAGTTCGAGTTTGAACTCGAGCTCAAGTATGAAAGAATCTTTGAATATTTGTGCTTAACATTTGCCAATTGCAATTTACATGTCCAACAACTAAAAGTAGAGTAAATGTTGTCCAAAATAAATCAAAAGTAATCAAACCATGAAGATTAAACTGAAACAAGAGTTACGGGGACATAAAATAAACAAAATATAATCTTAACTCCAAGTCTCCAACCAGTTGTGGTTCTAATATAATATATCATATACGGAGTATATTATAAGTACTAATATATATTATATATTAATATATATTGTATATTAATATATTATATATGAGTAATCTTCCGGTAAGGATTTTACTGACCGGAGCGCCGTACGGCCTCCTCCTTTTGGGGGCCTTTCCGATGATTTTTTTTGCTCAATTTTTTTTGTATGTTCCACATCAAGTCTAGTTCATCCATACCAAATTTGAGCCAAAAATTCAATCGGGAAGGTCGTCAAATGATTTTTGCAAGTTAACTGGTCCGGAATATGTATATTCAGCGGGTCTAGGGTGACCTGCGGACACGATAGCCGAAGAATTCAGCGGGTCTCAAAGAACAATTTTGCCCTTCCTTCCTTTTTTTTTTAACTTTCTTTCTCGAACAATATGTATATTCCGGACCAGTTAACTTGCAAAAATCATTTGACAACCTTCCCGATTGAATTTTTGGCTCAAATTTGGTATGGATGAACTAGACTTGATGTGGAACATACATAAAAAATTGAGCAAAAAATACCACCGGGAAGGCCCCCAAACAGAGGAGGCCGGACGGGGCTCCTGTCCGGAAATTCCAGACAGGAATAATCCTGTATTATATATTATACTGGAGTATATATTAATATAAATATACACACATTTAAAACTAGGCTCGTGAGCTAGTGAACCTAAAATTAGTTAGTTCATTTATGGCTCGACTGCTTAACGAGCTAGCTCGAGTTTGACCAAACCGATTCGAGCTTTGATCGAGCGGCTCGCTCATTTGCACCCTAGGCCTCACTGGTTTCAACCATCACTACAATACAGAGCTGTCTAATACGGAGTGTTACGGTTGTATGCAAGGGCGGAGCCAAGGCACTGACTGGACTAGGCCAATACAAAGAATATTTTTAGAAGAAAAAATTACACAAATATTTTTACACTAAAAATATAGACATTTTTAAAATTTGAGATGGGTCGGAGCCAGGGTTGACCCCCTTAGCTACGTCCCCGGTTGTATGCACTATACAGGAGTTGATATTGTGGTACTATGCAACGTTTATATTATTATTATACTACCTTCGTCCCTTCAAACTTTGCCAAATTTGACCGGCGCGGAGAATAATAAAGTAAAAGTTGTGTGGTTGAGGTTTGTGCAGAAGAGAGAGAAATAACAGGAAACACAAAATAATTGATTAGAAGGGAAAGTGGTAAAGTTAATTGGGATGACTTTATAACCTCATGATCGGTTAACACCGTTTGACCGAGGAAAAGATTTTGCCAAGTGCTTGTAAACCAATAATAATTTTAGTGACCATGTTACACTAAAAATAATGGCTTTTAAGATGCATAAAACCGGGACAAAAAAATCATTAGTAGCACGTTTAGTAGAATAAAATTGAGATACTAGTCAACTTAGCCCACAATGTCACTAAAAGAGAGAATAAAACTTCAGACTTTCGAACTGATTCAGCTTCTGCTTCGTTTTTAAAGCAGAAGAAGAATCAAAATCAGTTTTCAGAAACTAGTCTCATCCGTCTTCTAAAAAAAACTGATTCTAGTAGTAAATTAAAGCACTGGAATCACTTCTGCACTTTCAGCCAAATACTCAAACTTCCTCAGGGAGTAGAAGCAGTTTTAAGAATCAGATCCAAACACTCCCTTCTACAAAAAATGTGTGGAAACGAATATATTGTTTTTTGAATAACATGTAAAATATATTAAAACTAAGTGGAAACGAATTTATTGTTTTTTGAATAACATGTAAAATATTACCTCCGTTCCTTAAAACTTTGTCAAGTTTGACCAGCACGAGAATTAATAAAGTAAAAACTGTGTGGTTGAGCTTTGTGCAGAGGAGAGTGAATTAACTGGAACCACAAATTCTTTACTTAAAAGAGAAAGTGCAAAAGTTAGGGGGACAATTAAAAAAGGAAAATTGGCAAAATTTTAAGGGAATATACAATTTAAAATTGGCAAAATTTTAGAGAAGAAATGTCGGCATGTATGAAGGATTCTAGAGGGAGTTGAGAGCCTCTCTCACTAGAATATATGGAGTACTATATTCTAGTTTCTTTCTCAGGTTCCGGCGCCTCCCCTGAGTGTTGGCCGCCGCCGCCGGAGTCCTCACGGCTCTGGTAGGCTTCATTACTGCCCTCTAGATTTATATAGGTTCTTATCTATGCATTTTTGGAACGGCATGTACGAAGGATTCTAGAGGGAGTTGAGAGTCTCTTTCACTAGAATATACTATATTCTAGGTTGCTTTCTCAGTTTCCGGCGCCTCCCCTTAGTGTTGGTCGCCGCCGCCGGAGTCCTCATGGCTCCGGTAGGCTTCACTACTGCCCTTTAGATTTACATAGGTTCTTATCTATGCATTTTTGGAAACATGTTTCGTTTAGGTTCGAAACTGTTCGTGGATATGCAGTTTTTCGTTGGTGGATACTTCGCCGGAAAACGCCTTGACTAACATCACAGGCGGCTAGTAACCATGGGGCGGTAGCCTTGAGCCGAGGGGGCTGGAACGATGGTGAACGGGTCAGATTTGGAGGTTAAAAGTTTGGAAGGTGAGGTTGAAGCTATCGGATCTGAATTGACGGAAGCTGGGTTCAAAATCGTTTGTGAAGGTAAGTGTCCCTGTTCTCCAGAGGTTGTAGCTCGCCGGTAAACACTTTCCCAACAATTACGATGGTTAGTAACCATGGGCATAGTTGTGGGGCTGCTAATATGGTGAAAGGGTCGATTTTGAAGGTGGGATGAGGCTAATGGATTTGAATGGAGGCACTGTTCTGGGTATCTGGGCTGCTTCGTTCGCTGGAGAGGGGAAGTTCGCCGGAAAATGCATACGGGCAAGAACAAGTACTAGTAACCATGGAATCAGTCTTTGAGCGTGTGGGGGCTTGATATGATGGTGAACGGATTGGGATTTAGCGGATTATGTATTGGAAAGAGGACTGGAAACCGAAGGCTTTGAACGAGGATGAAGGACTGTCACGTCGGAGGGGATGATCGGTGCGGGGGGAAGGGTACTGGTTGGATACGAGCAAGGGTAGCCCGATCGGAGCTTGCCGGAGAAGGACAACGGCGAGCTGACTGGTCTGCAAGCTGATTGGACCCCATCCGTCTGCATCGGGTACTGTAGCATTTTGAATTTTGGGGGGATTGCCGCTTCAACTGTGCGGCGCTGAACTGGATGATACGCTGGGCTGGAGCTGATGGGCCTGACCCGGGAACGTGGTGAAACCCTAGTCCACTGGGATGGAGCGTATGGATTATTGGGCTGGATTGTTGGAATTTGGGCCGCGCGACTTTTTGGATATCTGGGATGCGGATCTTTAGCTGTGTTCTGGGCTGTGAGGAGTTGGACTTGCATGGATATTTGATAATTTTTGGACTGTTTTCTTTGCCGAGCCGGGGATAATGTCCTGTGCCAACTTTGGATTTTTTTTTTTTGTTTTGGATTTTGGGCTGGGAATTCTTTACCGTGCTGGTTTTGATTGACCGGCCTTCTAAACACCTCTCCTCCTGCCATTCACTAGGATCGCTGCACGAGTTCTTTCACTAGGATTTTACCACACTAGATAAAGTATTCAAAGAAAAGGCGTTAGCTGTTTGGTAAAAAACTGATTGTTTGATTTAGTTCGTTTTGGTATACAAGCTATTAGAATTGATTAATACTAAAAGTCACAGGCTTTTCCCAGATGCTACTTTTTGTAGCATCTCAAAAAAGATCTTTTAATTTTCGAAAAGCTCTTATAAATTGTTATGTCAAACAAACAACTAGAAGTTTTTAGAGACTTTTTCAACAGTACGAAAGCTAGAAGTCAGAGATTTATGTCTGCCAAACATGCTTGTAGTATATGTATAGACTTTCTGTTAAGATGAATTGTGTAAAAACATTGGATGGTGTTAGAATTATTTATCATTAGTAAAATATGAAGTGATAAACTACATTGTAAAAATATTAAACTACTCTTCCTACAAGGTTGACTTTTTTGAAAGAAACTTTGGAACTTCACATTGTATATTTCTATCAACTCCAAATCGATCCGTAGCCATGATGTGAACGTGCTCCTATGAAAATGACAAAATAATGATGAATCAATGAAAAATAAATGAATAATGGGATGGCCAAAATGATGTGTACATATTATAACTAGTAATTTAATAAATCATTTTCCAAAATACTTGAAATTTAAAATGTAAAATGTTTTTACACAGTGGAATGATAAACAAAGGGTGTTACCGTCGCACTTTATTTAAACGGGTGCACAAGGTAAATCACCATCCAAACTAAAACATAAACATTCAGGTATTCAAAACCCATAACAACACACGGAGTAATTGTTTACATGTACTCAAATCCAAATGTAAATGCACACATGTTTAATAAATAATCTAGGTGTTCTAATGTGGCTCTCTTTGTCAAGCATATCTTTCATCACTTGCACAAAATAAAGTGCAGAATGAAAACACAAAAAAAAAATAGCTTTATAGCTAAATAAGAATCACTCAATCTCGTAAAATAATGGGAAAATCGCATATATGGTCCCTCAGTTATCCACGAAACTAAAATCTCAGGCCTGTATTTTTGATATTGTAAATGTCACCCCTCAATTGTCCAAAATGTTGGAAATGTGGTCCTTTAAGTAGTGAAATGTACTCTCGCTCACGTTGTATATTTCACCCCTCAAAAGGACCACATTTACAGCATTTTGGACAATAAAGGGGTGACATTTACAATCTCAGAAATACAGGTCTGAGATTTTAATTTCGTGGATAACTGAGGGACCATATATGCGATTTTCCCTAAAATAATTTGATTTAACAAATTTAGTTTTTGTACTCGATGTCCTTCAAAATTCATCTACTTTTCAAAATACTAATATCTCATCCAAAATAACATTTATAACTCAAAATAACATTTATAAATTTTAAATAACTCACATATTCGTATTGAAGTAAAATGTCACTTTCCAAAACCTTTATCAAATATCAATTCACCAAAATCATTTATATATATTCCAAATTTCCTAGTTCCTTTAAAAGGTAGACAGAACTCAAGATCTATCGAGCCTAACAAATATGTAGGTCATAAGGCACATGCGAATTACGATTCACCCCAAATTTTCGAATCTCGCCGACCATCCATCAATTTAGAAGTTAAACTTCTACCTTAAGTGTGCACACTCCATAAGAGAGATTCTAAGAGAGATTCTAAGGTTCCATAAGAGAGATTCTAAGGTCTCCAATCAGTAAGAAGCTCAAGTAGTGAGGATTCTTCTACCAACTACTCACATAAAGGAATAAATCCTCAAAAGCAGAATATAGACTACTACAACCAAAGAAAAAGATGTCAATATAGATAGTATATCCTAAACCAAAGTAGTAGTAGCCTAAACCACTAGCATCACAGGTTTCTATATGTGAAAATTTAATCCCAGATTTTTAGCTAATATATATGGATGCACTCAGAAATAATATGAGGAAATATAAACATATTTCAATGATAATGATCGAAGAACTTTTACATGATGAAATCTCTCTGCTCTCAAAGAAGAAAAGCTTTCAGGTGAATGCGCGCGCACTGCGGCTGTGATTATTATGCGAAGATACCTAAAGTGGTAACATTTTATGCATATGTATCTGCGCGTATAGCATTGACAACATCATTGACTCAAACATTTATGGGGACCCTAATTCTATTCTAATCTATTAATTAATGTGTTAAAAGTACTATAAAAGGAAATACATGTAAATACAGAAACATTCATAATGAAAATTGATTACAGTCAAGTCATATCCCGTTTGATATCACAATCCTCTAAAATACATATGTTGTATATAGATACATAAAATAATATGCATAGCATATTCAATCCCTAACTCATAATTCTATAGTTGGATTCAATCCGATTCACAATTCCAAAAAAGTATTTAGTACAATGCTCAATAATAATTCAATATGGATAATTCCAAACCAAAAATAAGTTCACTATCAATTATTAATAAGGGACCTTAAAGTTAAAGTATGTCGAAATAAGGCTCGAATGATTGAAATATATCAATTTAATACCTAATATTTCATGCATTTTTTTTTAAGTTTAAATATTATTTCATCTCATTAAAATATTAGAACTTTTGTGAAGAAAAAATCATCAAACATTAGCAATGGAAGTGATAAAAAATATTATGTAAACCAAAATGTGTGATATTTTATATCTTAGATTGATAGTTTTCAATCATTTGGGCCCTATATTGAAATGCTTTATCTTTTAGGTCCTTAATTAGTAGTGAATTTATATCTCAGGTCCTAGTTTGATAAAATTCATATATTTAAACATATAGTTCATACACCAATTAAGAGTCCGTTTGGTGACCTTGTTCTACGACTTATCAGCCTTATCAATCAATTGTTACCAAACACATGACTTTTAATTCCGTGCGCTGATTGTGTAATAATTAAAACAAGTAAGATTGGGGTTACTTTTCTGACTGAATGAGCTGAAGTTAATGTAGAGGAACATTTTAGCTACTTTCGTACATTTTTTTTATATTAATAAAACTTATTTTAAACACAACTTTTTTTCATAAATTAGCAGAAACATGCAACCAACCACTTCAGTCATAATTTCACAAAAATTTCAACAGAATTAATCGATTTCAGTGTTACCGAACGAGATTCAACTTTCCCAATTTTCCAATGATAATAACAGTACAATTCCATAAAAGTCATGCTTTCAAGCCATAGTAAATCAAAAAAATTAATTTATCCAAAATTCAAAATTCATATTCCAATACCATTAATCTCATAATAGCTGAAGTATCCATAAAATTTCATCAGTAATACAAACTCATATCACAAACCCTAAATAAATCATATTTACGGCAAAACGTACATTTTGGTTGATATAGCTTAGAAACTTGCCTCAAAGGCTAGCATAGATTCTAAACGCGAATGAACATTGATAGAGTATATAGACTCGGACCCTGGGTATCACGACTATTGGGCCCAGACAGCGGCTCAGACAGCGGCCCACATATGCTTAGTAGATAGCATTTATTTCCTTGTACACTTTATTTATTCAGATGTATCCATTAGAATAGATTAGATACCATTTATTAGCCATTTATTGGTCTTTTATTGTAACTGGGCCTTCCAGGCCCAAGCCTGGAAGCCCATCCCTCTTTTCTCCTATAAATACTCCCTATGGGAGCCATGTAAAGGATTGGATGGTTGATTGGAATTCATTATACATATCACTTTATCTCTCTAGCTCTCCCTTCTCTCTAGATTAAATAATCTATCAAACATAAAATGGTCTGAAATTACTATGATAATCTCTACTATTGAGTTAATGGCCTGACCGGGGGCCGGCCCATTACCCCTTAACAAAGAGCATCAAGGCCCAGCAAGAAAGGAGCCCAAGACGCTCGTCCTCGGGCCCCACAGCCCACAAGGGCAGTTAACCATGGTAGGCCAATGTTTGATACGCCGTTCGGCTCGTCCCGATAAGACGATTGGCCTCTATGACCTTAGCCCCATAATGCACCAGATGGCACTCTAGCGCCCAGGTAGATGATACACAGAAGACTTTCGGCTTCTACCTCTTGTTCCATTCTAGCAGAAGGTCCAAAATCATGAAGACACTCGTCCGCAGAGATGGGCGGGAAACCTAGATATCGGCGAGAGGCGCGTTTAATGCTGAAGATTTGGTGGTTGGGAACATAGTCATCCACAGCCCTCCACGTCAGCGGTCCTACCTACCCCTTGGTAGTATAAATAGTAGCATCTATTTCATTGTAAAGGGTTGACAACTTATCTAGCACTTAGCAATATTCTCAGCTCTTATGTACTGAGATAGACGAACGGCCTCAAGCCAGGTAGTTAGTGTGTTGTATACGGATCCTTATTAACACTTAATAAGATATGGCCCACTTGCTACAGAAATATCAGCCCATCTTACTTGCTTGCATCTTATTTCCATACAGTCTCCACTCGAAATCCTTGGGTAATGTGTTGGGCCCCCGGATTGAAGCAATAAACCTCAACTACACAACAACATTCAAGCCTTAATAATCACAAAAATATAAAAATCACATTTTTATCCATTTCATTTATTTGAATTATATATTTGTCATTATTTCTTTGGGAAAATTATAATTATCCCCTTCTAGTTTGATCATAATTATTAGTTCAACCTTATATTTTTAAAAGCCAACTATTTACCCCCTCAGCTACGATTACTGTTGTAATCTCTCCTTCTATCAACATTTTCATCAAATGCCTATTTCTTTGACTAAAATACCCGTGTTTAGAGATTATTTGTTAAATCCTCTCATCTACGTATTTTTTTCAAATTAGGAGTAGTGTGGTCCGGTGCAGTCTACTATTTTGCCGAACTCGTACCCATATTGTGACTATTGAAACGGCTCATATCGTGACTATTGAAACGGCTTGATTCAATCTTAGATCTGAACCCGTTCGGTACGGTTCTATTTTCAAACGAGACGATACCATATCCTCTAAAAATCCACATAATTTATCACGTTTCATACTCCGTATTACATAATTATTAAATTTCAGAAAAACTGTAGTACTACAAATTTAAAACGGTCACGACATTGTTTAGAACTGGTACAGTCTGGTTCGCGACAAAAAATTTGAGATCCGTTTCAAGTC